GGTCAAGAATCACATGATTATCGCCACAGATACAGAAAAGGCCTTTGATAAAATTCAACATTCATTCATGCTAAAAGCTCTGGAGAAAATAGGAATAGAAGGAACATTTCTAAAAACAATAAAAGCCATTTATGACAGACCAATAGCCAATATTATTCTTAATGGGGAAAAGCTACAACCAATCCTCCTAAAAACAGGAACAAGGCAAGGATGTCCACTGTCTCCACTCCTCTTCAACATAGTCCTAGAACCCTTAGCCAGGGCAATAAGGCAAGAAAAAGACATTAAAGGGATCCGCATAGGGAAAGAAGAAGTTAAACTATCCCTTTTTGCAGACGACATGATACTATACCTCCACGATCCCAAAAACTCCATCCCCAAACTTTTAGAAATCATAAGTCACTTCGGCAAAATAGCAGGATACAAAATAAACCCACAAAAATCAGTTGCCTTCCTATACACTGATAACGCACAGGAAGAGAGGGAAATAAAGGGAGCAACCCCATTCACAATAACCTCCCAAAAAATAAAATATTTAGGAATTAACCTAACCAAAGATGTAAAAGAACTATTTAATGAGAACTATAAAAAGTTAAAGAAAGAAATTGCAGAAGACACTAGGAAATGGAAAGACCTCCCATGCTCCTGGATAGGCCGACTTAATATAGTAAAGATGGTGATACTTCCAAAACTAATATACAAATTCAATGCAATTCCTATTAAAATCCCAATGACGTACATCACTGAAATACAGAAAACAGTCCAAAAATTTATATGGAACAACAAAAGACCTAGAATAGCCAAAACAATTCTAGGGGATAAAGACAATATGGGAGGGCTATCCATGCCGAACTTCAAACTCTACTACAGAGCTATAATCACAAAGACAGCATGGTACTGGCACAAAAACAGACCCGAAGACCAATGGAACAGAATAGAAGATCCAGATATAAATCCACAGGCCTACAGCCAGCTGATATTCGACAAAGGAGCCAAAGACATACAATGGAAGAAACACAGCCTCTTCAACCGCTGGTGCTAGGAAAACTGGGCAGCCACATGCAGAAAACTAAAAGTGGACCCCAGCCTATCACCATGCACCAACATCAACTCAAAATGGATTAAAGACCTTAACATTAAACCTGAATCTCTGAAACTACTGCAGGACGGAGTAGGAGAGACACTTGAACTAATAGGCACAGGAAGGAACTTCCTGAACAGAGTCCCAGGGTCACAACAAGTTGGAGAGAGACTCGACAAATGGGACTACCTTAAAATAAAAAGCTTCTGCACAGCTAAATCTATCGCAACTAAGCTAGAAAGACAACCAACTAATTGGGAAAAAATATTTACCAGCAATATATCAGACAAGGGGTTAACATCCTGTATATACAGGGAACTCAAGAAACTAATCCCTCCCAAACCTAACAAACCAATTACTAAATGGGCAAGGGAACTAAAGAGGGACTTCTCAAATGAAGAAATAAAAATGGCAAAGAAACACATGAGGAAATGTTCATCATCCCTGGTGGTGAAGGAAATGCAAATAAAGACAACCCTGAGATACCACCTTACCCCAGTCAGAATGTCCCACATCCACAAATCAGCCAACGACAAATGCTGGAGGGGATGTGGAGAAAGAGGAACCCTATTACACTGCTGGTGGGAATGTACACTTATACAACCACTTTGGAAAGCAGTCTGGAGGGTCCTTAGAAAGCTAAAGATTGACCTCCCTTACGACCCAGTCATACCACTTCTAGGCATCTACCCTGAACAACAGGAACCAATATACAAGGACACGTGCACCTCCATGTTTATTGCAGCACTGTTCGCAATAGCTAGGATATGGAAACAACCTAGGTGCCCCACCACAGATGAATGGATCCAAAAATTGTGGTATCTATACACAATGGAATATTATGCAGCCATTAGAAATGACAAAATAATGGCATTTGCAGGGAAATGGATGGAGCTAGAAGGAATCATGTTGAGCGAGGTAAGCCAAGAACGAAGAGACAAACGGTACATGGTCTCCCTCATAAGTGGATGCTAAATCCAAAAGGTTAGGTGATACGACAAAACTAACAGGACTTAAGAAACAAAGAACTCCCGCTCATCTGGTTGAACCACTACTAAATATCCCCATGCTGCTGATCACAAATATGGTATATAACATGTGAACACTGTTATATATTACAGACTGTGGTAGACAATTTGCTCCAGGGAAGTTAGAATGAACTTGTGACTTTGAAATTATGTAATCATTTAATCACAATAAAAAATAAAAAAAAAAGAACCTCGGGGAAGGGAGGGAGGGAGGGGATGGTAGGGGGAAAACAATGGAGGGGCTAACAATGTTCAAGAGGAAGTGTACTCATAACCTCACTCATGTAACTGTAACCCTCTGTATAGTAGCTTTACAATAAAAAAAAAAAATGCTGTGGCCTAATTGGTAGTAGATTGGCCTTGAGCAAAAAGCTCCGTGGCAGCACCCACCAGAGGGGGAAAAAATGAAGTTTGGACCACTAACATCCTGCAAAAGTCCTAAAATATCACCATCTTCTCCTGCTGGCTTATATGCATCTTGGGAGAATTGAGTCAGTCTCTGCTGAGGAGCCAAGACAGTACTACATTCCAGAGTGACAACATTCCAAAGTGCTTATATGAATCTTGTGAGATCTGAGTCTGAGTCTCTGCTGAGGAGCCAAGACAGTGCTACATTCCAAAGTGTGGAATGACTCCCCAATAAAGGAGGGGTATGAAAAACAAGTTTGCAATTCATGATTGCCTCACCCACTCCAAGGAAAGGGCCAAAACTTTAGATGATAGAGAAGGATCTTTCAAGAAAATTGTTCATGGCCAAGAGTGGATATTGTAATTTAATATGGCTTCTCTCTCCATTTTAGAACTCTGAGAAACTAAGTCAATGAATAAGGACAGGAGGAAAAAGGGTCCTATGGTTTCAGAATGTGGGTCCTCCATTTTAAAGCGACCATAATTTGCCAAAGAAAATAAGCTAACATATTTACTCTTCTCCCATGTTCTGTAGGAAGAATAAAGCAGATGTCTAAAGAGAAACAGACAAGATAGTGTTCCAGCCCTATAGAAAGCTCCATGAGGAGCTTCTGATGCTGGATTCTGTGAGGAAATCCTTTTACCTGAGCTGGAATGAAGGAGTTTTTTCCTCTGTTGCTAACAGCTAAAACACAGAGGCAATTTCGATTTACATAAGCTAGATTCACATTCATTTCAATTGCCTCCCAGAAAGAAAGAGTTGTCACAAGACCATCCAGCTCATTCTTCACCTTTCCAGTTAAGACTTGGTGCAGTAAGTAACCTTAGTCACCATTGACAGAAACCAAGAAACACAGAACATTGTGCAAACTACAGCCTTAAATCTAAAATGTGTACAATTTAGAGATGACACAGCATTTGGAGGAACCTAGGAATGATCCTAGGCTATTCGTTGTATTTTCCCATAACCCTACGACTCATTATTTAATAATTAAGTTCTGCAGATTCTATACTCCAAATCACACTTGAATCTATCTCCCATCTAACTCTTCAGCCTGTGCCTTTATTCAGATCCTCTCATTTATAATAATCATTCTCAATTGTATTATCTACTCTTACTGCAGTGAGATATCAAATGTGAGGATATGTTCAAATCACTCCCTTTCTTTAAATAATACTTCCCTCATCCTTCAGAACCAAACTCCAAATCTCTTCTTAATCGCCCCTGCCTTTGTTTCCCATCACCCATAATTACCTACTTCCTTTTCCCTGAGGTATCATGTTGTTTCATGGACTGTGTTTTTATATATTTGTGTCTGGAAAATTTGTGAAAATTTTTGAAATGGGTGTCCTTTTAGTGGAATGTCGAGTGCTAAGGATCCTCAGGGCTTATCTGATCCCTATTTTACAAGCAGGCCATTTTCTTTCTTTGGGAATATAAATTAATCTGTAGAGTAGAATGCTGATAATGCAACACGTTTCCTGCCTATGACAATGCCAATGTTTTAGGTGATGCAAATACATCTTGTGGAGCAGACCACAGACATCCCTAAAAGTCAAATCTTCATACGAACCCTAGTTTTAGTGTCTTATTGGTTGCCTCTTTAATGAGTGACAACTGGTCACTAATTAGTGCTTGTGGGCCCTCCCCATTGCATCTCACACCTTTAATTCTATCAGTTATGTTGCCTCTCCGTCCTTTTGCACCTGCCATTTCTCCCACCACCTTTCCCACCCACTCCTTCACAACTCAGTCCCCACCACTCCTGAGTACCCGGGGGAGTGACATCGATCCGCTCCCTCGATTAGAACCGGACCAGGCTGCGAGTCCTAAGCGCCAGGTCTGACTTTCTCGGAGAGGAGAAGCCAGAGTGGCCTCCTCTTAGCGGACTTGCGATAGCCATTTGCCAAATCACGCCTTCCGCAAGCAGCTCCTCTTTCTCTCCCCATTCCGCCCTGGAGACCGGGGGGCGAGCGGGTCCCACGGTTCATCGGGGCTTCCCGACCCCCGCCACGCAGGGGTGCTTCTAAAATTACCCAAGCCCGGGTTCTGACCACGCCGCCCCCACGCGCCCACCCGTGACTCAGTTAATCCGGGCTCAGGGAGGTCAGCCCTACGGTTTCGTATTTTTTTCATGGGGTTCTACGGGGCGGGGGGGGGGGGGGGGGGGGACGACAGAGAGGAGCCCCGCTCCTTCAGGCGCGGCCCGCAGCCCGCTCGCTCCCCAAGCCTCTCGGGGGCCCGCGGCCCGCGCCGCGCGTCTCCGGCACCGCCCGCCGGGGCGGGGCGCAGGAGGCCGGGCCGCAGTGGCCGCCTCGCCTCCCTCCTCCGGGGACAGCGCGGCGCGTGACTGCGGCCGCCCCGCCGCCGCGGGAGCGTGGAGCGGGGGAAGGGTGGGCGAGACCGCGGGCGCAACCAACGCGCCGTCCGGAGGGGCGGCTCGCGGACGGCCGAGAGCGGACCAAGCGCGTCGCGCCCGCAGGGGGGGCCGGGCGTCACCAACCGCTCCGGAAAGGAGGGGGGCGCCGGGGCGCGCCGCCGGCCTCGAGACCCCGGGAGCACGCGAAACGCCGCCGCCAACGCCGCCAACGCCGCCGCCCGCGCGGAAGGACGAGGCTGCGGCGAGAGCGAGGTAAGGGGCGCCTTGCCCGAGGCTAACGGGGTCGCGGAGACCCACCGCCCCCAAGTCCTAAGTGATCCCCGGCGTCCGAGCAGGCCCTCCGGCAGCCCACGGACCCAGTCCTCGCCCACCTTCCCGCCCTAGGCCCTGTGCCCATCGGCGCCACCCTCCCGGCCCGCTCCCGACAGACCCTCGGACGAGCTGGCGTGAGCCCCACCGGACGCTCCGACCCCGAGCACCGTCCAGCCCTGCGGGGGCCTCTCCCGATCCGCCCTCCGTGGTCTCCTCCCACGGTCCTCTCGAGACCGCCACCTCCCTATAACCGATCCGCGCCCCGTAGTCATCCTGGTTCCCAAATCCGTGACCGTCCTGCGGCGGCGCGGGCTGGGTTCCCTAGGCGGCGACCGCAGCGGGGCCTCGGCACCGCCGGTGAACACCGGGTGCCCGGCGCCAGCCGCGCATTTGTTCCCCGCTTCCCAAATTCATCTCTGCGCGGCGCCAGCTTTCGGTCCTCCCCCTTTCCTACCCAGATTCATCTGGGGAAAACCTTGAGCTGGCGGTTTGCCGGTCCCCTGCCGCATTCACCTGCCGCGAAGGGCACCGCGATCCCGATGGCCAAGGCTAGCCTTGGATCGCGGGGCTGGTCCTGAGGACCCAAGGCGACTGCCCCAGTGGCAAGGGACCATCCGCCAGTCCCCAGCACGGTGCCCGGTACGCGGCAGCGCTTATTAAATGTTATATGGGTGGGTGAATGAATGAATGAATGAATGGGCCTAAGGCAGAGACAGGCTGTGCTTCAATGGGGAAGGTGTCTCTAGGTTACGTAAGGAGGAGGGAGATGAGAAGGTTTGGAGGATTTTCAGTCTTTCCATCTAGGAAAAATAGATACAGCTTTTTTCCCCTCATCCATTCATCTGATTTCATTGACATTGAAGAGTCTTTATTTGGCCTGTTTTCCGTTTGTTTGTGGCAAACCTGGGGCTGCGGAAATTCGAATTGGTTAGTACTTCAGAGGCTGCTCAGGTAATGTTGAAAGAGCTTCGCCCAGGGTTACTGCTCATCCCCTAGAGACTAGCTGCTCCCTCTGGGGTAGAATTCTGGAGGCCAGCCACAGTCCTTAAAGCTGACTCAGTGTCGCTGGGAAGCTGTGCTTCAGGACAGGTTGGAGCAATGAAGAACCTTGATTATTTTAGCGTTTAGGTCTTGGATCCCTTCCCCCCTCCCTTGCTTTTTAAGAGACTGGAGGACTAGACATCCCACACAAGCCTTGTGTGGGATAGAGATACTTCCTAATGCTACTATAGTATGATCAAAACATGTGAACTATTTATGTCTCTTTAAACCAGTCAGGGAGTTACCACTATGTGAACAGTGACAATAAGAACACAAGCAAGGGGCTAGGAAGGTGGCTCAGTGGTAGAGCGCTTGCCTTTCATGCATGAGGCCCTGGGTTCGATTCCTCAGCACCACATAAGCAGGGGAAAAAAAGCCGGAAGTGGCACTGTGGCTCAAGTGGTAGAGTGCTAGCCTAGAGCAAAAGAAGCTCAGGGACAGTGCCCAGACCCCCAGGACTGGCAACACACACACACACACACACACACACACACACACACACAAGCTAAAGATGGAATTGTGTGTGTGTGTATGTGTGTATGTGTGTGTGTGTATGTATGTGTGTATGTATATGTACTGGTCCTGAGGCTTGAACTCTGGGTCTGGACGCTGTCCCTGAGCTTATGTGCTCTACGCTAGCACTGTACCACTCAAGCCACAGCTCCACTTCTGGCCTTTTTGGTAGTTAATTGGAGTTGAGAGTCTCCAGGGCTTTAATGCCAAGGCTGGTTTAGAACCACGATGCTCAGATCTCAACCTTCTGAGTAACTAGGATTACAGGCATGAGCTGCCAGTACCAGGTTAAAGATGGAATTTTTAAAGAAGAGAGAGACTGAAACTGTTTTGTTGATTCCTAGGAGGGTAATCTGAACAGATACCATTTCTTGAGGAAGACAAAGTTCAGGGGCCACAGTTTTGGTCCATCAGTCTGAATGAAGAGACACTGACTGCAAAGCTGTAGTTTATAAACTGGGAAGTAGTTGCCTACAGCATTATTCTAACTGCAGCTTAACATGGTAGCAAATAAAAATAGTGATTGAGGGGGGGGGGTGTCTGGAGAGTACTTGCCTAGCATGGAGTTCCTGGATTTGATCACTAGCAATGCAAAAAAACTTAAAAATTAAAAAGTGATGAGTTTCTTAGGAGGCTTGGTAGAAGTTAGATGTTAAACAGTAATATAGTTTAGTGAAAGGAAGAGCAGGCCCAATCAGTACCAGAAGTATTTTGTTATCTCGGCCTTTCTTCTCCTGACCCTCTAGCACTTAACACAGTTGTCTCTTTTTGCTTTCTTTGGATTTTTTAGTGGTGTTTAAGGTCTTTTTGTTTTTTTTTTTGTGCTAATACTGGGGCTGAACTCAGAGCCTGGGTGCTGGATCTTAGCTTTTTTGCTCAAGGCTAGCCCTCTATCACTATGCTCCAGTGTGTGTGTGTGTGTGTTTGTGTGTGTGTGTGTGTGTGTGTGTGTGTGTGTGTGTGTGTGTGTGTGTGTGTGTGTGTTTAATTGGAGCTAACAGTCTCACAGACTTTCTTGCCCAGGCTGGCTTCAAACTGTGATCCTCAGATCTCAGCCTTCTAGAGTAGCTAAGATTATAGGCATGAGCTGCCAGTACCTGGCTGAAGTTCCTTTTTGAAGGGAAGCCTGCCTTAACTAGAGGTTAAATATGTTCTCACGTATTTCCAGCTTTGAATTTTTCTACCTTCTGACATGTCTTTAAAAGGTTGTAGATCATAGAAACTCAATATGAAGAGAGGCTCCTGAGCTGGATTAAGCAATACATTTTGTTTTGTAACCACTACATATTTTATGGGCTTTTCTACTTTGTCCTGTGTGTAGGCCCTCTGTTAAGACCTCAGAACTCCAGAGCACCCTGTTTTATTTTCTCCTCACTTCCAATTTTAGAGCATTACCAGATAAATACAAGATGCCTGAATTTGAATTTCTGATAAACAACAGAGACTGCTATATGTTTACTTGCTAAATCTGACAACCATAATTCATAGAAAAGCTTATATGTTCTTTTTTCTCTCTGAGGCTTGTCTGCAAATCATATACAATGATTATGTACCGTGCTGAAAGTCACTTGACTGAAGAGATGGTTCTGTACAATATAGCCAGGTTGCTCAGTGTTGAGGTTACATAGAACACACGTACTCAGACATTGACGGGCAATGTCATGTTTGTCAAATGAATGTCTTGCAAAATGAGAGCACTTTTTGAATGGTCAGAGGCCAACATTCCTCTGCGACAGCTGGTGGTGGTTGTGGACAGGTTGTTGAGAATTATAAATATATAATATACAATAAAATTTACCCCTTTTACTATGTAATTCAGCATATTCTCACTGCCATATAACCATTATCACTGTTTCTAGGGCTTTTTAATTTTCTTAACTGAGATTCTGCCAATGTAACTCCTCACTCTCCCCTACTTCTCTCCCGTTAACCATCATCCAACTCTCCATCTCTTGAGTTTGACGGCGGTGGGTACCTTTAATAAATGTAAGCATATGTTTTTTCCCTTTGAGAATGGTTTATTTCACTTAGCTTAGTGTCTGTAAGATTTGTCCATGTCATGGCTTATATTAGAATTTCCATGTTCGTCTGTCTGTCTGTATATACAGCATGGTTTGTCCATTTATCTGTTGATAGATATTTGAGTTCCTTCTACATTTTGGCTATTATGAATAATGCTGACATGAACATGAGTGTATAAATAGGTTTGAATTACTGGTTTCAGTTTTGGGAACATGGCTAGAAATTGAATTGTATAATTTTATATTTAATTTTTTGAAGAACCACCATGTTTTCTGTAACACTACCAATTTACATTTTTTTCTTTTTTCTTTTTTTTTCTGGTGCTGGTCCTGGGGTTTAAACTCAGGGTTGGGGCACTGCCCTTGAACTTTGTACTGAAAGACAGTGCTCTACCACTTGAGCCACAGTTCCACTTTTGGCTTTTTGGTGGTTAATTGGAGATAAGAATCTCACAGACTTTCCTGCTAAGGATGGTTTTGAAACTCGATTCTCAGATCTTGGCTTCTTGAGTAGCTAGGATTACAGGTGTTAGCCACTAGTGCCTGGTTCCACTTTACATTTTACTAAGAGTGTACACGTGTGATATTTTCACATCTTCCTCAGTGTTGTTAACTTCTTTATTTTTTATCATATGTTTATTGGCCATGTGCATATCTTCTTTGGAGAAATGTCTACAGTCCTTTCATCACTTTGAATTGGATTATTTTCTGTTGTTGAATTACAAATATTCTGCATGAATTTTGAACCTTAGTCCATCATCAAATATATATATTATTTGTTAATGTTTTCTCTCATGGGTTGGAAGCTCTTTTTTTTTCTCTTTAGTGGTAAGAGTTTGAATTCAGGCCCATATCCATCCTAGGCAATTACTTTACCCCTTGAGCCACTCCTCAACATTTTTTGCTTTAATTGTTTTTCAGTTAAGGTTTCGCTCTATTGCCTGGGACTTGGCACTAGATCTTCCCATCTCTACTTCCTGCGTGGGTGTGTTACACACGTGTGCCATCCTACACAAGAGTTTTTAATTTTTTAGAAGTCTAATTCATTATTTCTTTTATTGCCTCTGTGTGTGTGTGTTTTATTTCTTGTGTATGCCTCTGTGTATTTTGTTTTTGGGTTTATTGTGTGTGTGTGTGTGTGTGTGTGTGTGTGTGTGTGTGTAAGGGGGGGAGTGGAGAAAGAGAGATGTTGGATTGAACCCAAAGATTCATGCATACTAAATGAGCACTCTACCACTTGAACCATGCCCTGAGCCCTTTTTTTTTTAAATTTTGCTTTAGAGATAGGATCTTGCCAGTCTTGCCAACTTCTACAAACCCTATCTCAACCTCCTCAGTAGCTGGGATTATAGGCACGTATCTGCACAAATGGCTTGCCTATGCTTTCAAACCACATACAGTCATTGCCAAATTTAGTGATATGAAGCTTTTTTCCTTTTCTTTTTTGGGCTAATACTGTGCCTGCTGAACTCAGGGCCTCGTTCACTGGACTTTTTCCACTCAAGGCTAGCCCCCTACACTTGAGCCATGCCTCTACCTCTTTTTTGCTAGTCAACTGAAGTCTCAGATTTGAATTTGTTCTTCTAGGTAGGCTTGGAACCTCAATTCTCAGACCTTAGTTCTCATATCTCAGTCTCCTCAGGATTGCAGGCCTGAGGCTCCAGGCACCTACTTGGCTTATTTTAAGTTTTCTTCCCTTTGCTTATCATTTTCTTTATTTTGCTTTATTTTGTTTTTTTATTATGTAAGTATTTGATCCATGTTGAGGTAATATTTGTAAGAGATAGAAGATAAGGATCCAAGATAAGATTTATTCTTTTACAAGTGGATATCCAGTTTTCCCAAAACCATTTGTTGAAAAGATTATTTGTTTCATGGTCTTGGAATCATTGTTGAGAACCATTTTAGCAGATGTTTAAGAGTTATTTCTAGACTCTGTTCTATTCCACTGGTCTGTATATTCCAGTGCTATTGCTAT